TCTCTCTCTCTCTCTCTCTCTCTCTCTCTCTCTCTCTCTCTCTCTCTCTCTCTCTCTCATTTAATAACCATTAGCCGCGCGACGTGACGGCCGCGACGGTAGATGCCGACCGGCGGCGATTTTCGGAGTGTCCCGAACCCCCTCGCGCGCGAGGGTGTCAAAGATCTAGAGCAGATAGTGCGGCGCGCGGCTATATTGATGAGGTGGCTCTCCGCGTATTGATTCCGGGCCGGGAGGGTTTTCCCCGGGCGTCCCGCAACGAGCGCCCCGCGGACCCCTTTTGCTACGCGCAAGGGTTGATAAGATCCGCCAGATAAGGCATGATTACACACCGCACAGTACCTACCTCTACCCCCGTCCCCCTTCCCCCTCTCGTCCGATCCCTGTTCTTCATCGTTACAACCCTCCGTTCGTTCGTTCGTTCGTGCCTTCCGACCCCTGCGCTTCATTCCCGGGGTAAACAAGGGGCTACTCCGTTCCTCGCGATGGACGACGCGACAAAAATGGATCGGGCAACGATGGATTTTACCGTGAAGCCACGTAATTTCGTCGCGTGTGAGACGTACGACTCGTGTCTCTTCCTCTCGCACTTTTACTCTCTCTCTCTCTCTCTCTCTCTCGCCGCAATCGTGGAAGACGTTATGGCAAAGATCAGCGGAGAATCGCTCTGAAGAAGCGCGTCAAGATCGAATCGCTTTGACGATCTTTGCGAAACGAGCGACGTTCTCTCTCACTTTTACGATGCGCTCAGCAGTTGCAGTTTTATCGTTCGATCTTTGGAGTCTCTCTTTCTCTCGTTCTCGCTCCCGCTCTCCTCGCCGTGTATTCGCTACAATAAGTCGCGCACATCGACCACCCCGGAAACTCCGAACACACTCGATCACGCACCGATCCGCGAACTGCGTCCCTCGAATATCGACGACGAGACGCGAGACTGCGCACGAAAGGGGACGACTTGAAAAAGGAGAAAAAAATCCTTGCGAGAAAAATCGGGGACACACGCTCTGTTTCTCTCGCTCTTTCTCTCTCTCTCTCTCTCTCTCTTTCGGCTTTTTGGTACTGTCTCAAAGTTCATTGTGCGTGACGCAACGCAGCACAAGAGGGCGGGACAAAAGAGGGCAATTTTGTGTCCTGCACGAAAGGGGCAGGAGGGAAGGGGACTATCCCTCTCGCTCAAAGAAATTTCAATAAGTTCGCCATTATGCGTCAAGGGGGGCGGGCGGGAGGCGCACGTCGCATCCCCTGTATTTTGTGCTTTCGCCGACAATGGCAGCAGGTATAGTTTCGCTTGACGCGGTTGCGCGTCCCTCCTCTCCCGATGCCTGCCGGATGCAGGGTGCGGTGTCATCTCAGACGACGGGGTTAAGTGGTCCGTGAGTAGGGGTAAAAGCGAGAGAAGCGAAAGTGGAGGGTCAAAGGTGGGCGCCGCGACGAGAGAAACGTCCCGCGCGCGCGCGCGCATCGTCACCGCCGTTATCTCTCGGCTTATCGCAAACCCGATTCCGTTCCTCATGATCAGTCGCATATCATTAGAGTCTCATAGAAAGAGAATGGCAAACTTGATCATCACGTGACCGAATCTCCTCTGATTGGACATCAGAATTCCTTGTGTAGGCATAGGAATAGGTAAGAAAGGCTTGTTCGCGCTGTAACCATCGGTTCTCCATGAGTAATATGCTATTGGACGTAGTCTGTCAGAAGACATGTGTACTTTGAATATGATGCTTGAACACACATAACAAGATCTTTCTTCTGATCTGTTGGCGCGACGAGTCAACCTCAATTTTAGCCTAACTTTTCTTACCTATCCCTACGCTGAGAAAAGAGACGGTTGATCTAACTGAAATTATATGTAGTTACTTTGTAGCTCCAGTTATATTTTTTGTGATATAATGGTGATAGTAACATGCGTATAAGGTTATTATCACTAATATTATAATAAAATATAATAAGAAGTGATTTTCTCTTAATTATAATTTATAGTGATTATTTCTCTATGTGTAATTATAGTTACAGATACTAAACGTGTGATTCCTTAATATATATTTATATACTAGTATTATTTATATCTATACAAGGCGCTTTGCGGCGCCTGGGATCAATCAAAGATTCACGCATGCCACTCTCTGCCTGTGAGGCTGTCTACTTGCATACGATACTTGCATATGTGCGATCCGAGACGTCATCAATACGAGCCGAGAAGGCGCGATCTCCAGGAGGTCCGTCGCCGTGCGACGCGCCGAGATTATCCGCGGAACACGGCTTTAACAGTAACAGTATCGTCCATTAACGGTTAAGTGGTTCGCACAGCGGGAAGAGCCAGAGAGAGGGACGAGGGTAGATAGATAGGTAGACTGGTAGGAGTGAAAGGTGGCTACGTAAGCCGGGGGTGGAGGGAGGGCGGGAAAGAGGGCACTATAATACGATCCAACGGCGGCGAGATACCTGCTCCTCCTCTCTCTCTCTCTCCCTCTTTCTCTCTGTCCCCGTTCTCCCGCATCATCCTCAGTATCCCGAAACTATGCGTTCGCGCGCCGCTCAAGTTTTAGGTCCGTGATACATGGACAGAGGGGACAGGGGAGAAGGGAAGAAAGGAAGAAGAAGAGAGAGAGAGAGAGTCGCGGTTAGTCCCCGAGGGATAAAGTGGGTCCCGCTTCTTTCCCTTAAGTGTTTGCCACTCGTATGCTCGTCGTCGACGAGGGTGCGCACAGGTGTACGGGACGGCGTTTTCGAGTTTCCCACTTATTCGCCGAGAATGGAAGATACTTTTCATGTATATATATGTATATATGTGTATATATATATATATATATATATATATATATATATATATATATGTATGTATGTATATATGGCGAGACCGAAGGTCTCCCTTTGCCGGCGATTCTCCTCCCTTTCTCGAGACACGTCGATCTTACCGGCAGACGGCAGGGGGAAGGATTTGAGAGAAGAACAGGGGGCAAGGGGAAGGTTGATGTCACGGTAACCCGCGTCAAGTCCCGTGGCTTTTTGATTCCACGCGTAAGCCGACGGATCGAATGCGCTTCTGGTGTGCGGGAGTAGACGAGTACTCTCTTTCTCTCTCTCTCTTTCAGTCCTTCTCGCGACAGAAAGAGAGAGAAAGAGAGAGAGAGAGAGAGAGAGAAAAAAGACAGAAAGAGCGAAGAGAGTATTTTATTCTGCCGCACGTTTTTTTTCTCTCATAATCTCTCCTCGTACGGCGCGAGTCTGATCGCGATTTTTGCGCGACCGTACGTTTCTCCAGATGACTCTTTATTTTTTTCCTGCTGAAACGATGGCCTCCTCGAGTTTCCGTGTACGAGCGCGCGTGCGACATACGATAAGAATCTCGTTTACTCGGTGAGTCATAGCAGGTCTGCGAGTGCCGAGATGAAAATAGATTCACTCGATAGATCGATCTCACGTGTCTATCGCGTGACACTGTCTCTTTTCCTCGCCATTTTTCCAAGAGCGTCCTGATGCGCCGTTTTGTACGTTGCGATAAGGAAAATTTAAGTAAAGCACTTGCGATGCAACAACGAATCGCGTAGATCCAATTCTGGCATTACCCAGAGAGTTTCCACGTTCTCCTATGCTAAAGTCGAACATTTTATATGACTTATTAAAAGTCTACTCTAGTAAGAATCCCCAGATAGACAGGTACACACGAAGAAAATATTGCAGTGAAAATCACAACAAAAATGTGTGATTTTGAATCGTACAGAAATCATGAACTTGCTATATATTTGTTGAAAAATGTTATGCACATTTGACTGTTTATTACATAATTTAATTACTTGATTTTTTTTTATATTATACAATCGATCAAATTTGAGAGCGACTTTGCTATTCGATTTATAAAAGCATTTCTTATGATTGTTTCTTATTTTATTCATACATTTGTCGCATAAAGTATTCGAAAAAGATTCGATTCGAAACTTCGAGACAACATGTCATGTAATGTGAAAATCTGACTGTAACTTTAGAGGCAAATTTGTTGCCACATAAGCAAAAAATTTATATTTATTACTGTGTGATGCAAATGTAATAATTACTGTGATGATGATGTAATAATTACTTCAGTGCAGTATATTCGCTTCACAAGTGTAATGAAAAGAATTGCAAAGTTTCCATAATCGATTGTCTCACGTTGTGAGTAGTCATGCAAGTCTATCTCGGTCGACGGTTGCGAGAAAAATTCGTGGACGCGCGGACTGTAGCTTTTCGAGGCGAATGCGGAATCAAGTACGACGGAGTCGGATTTCACCCAGGAAATATCTCGATAGTGCCGGGATTGGATCTAGCCGACGATCACAAGCGCGCGATCGTCCGAGACCGCCAGCGTGACGGGTGTGATATCTCTGTCTTCTCTTTTCCAAAACTGTCGCTGCAGAGTGCGGCGAGGCGGGCGGGCACCAGCTGCGCCAACTGCAAGACGGCGACCACGACCCTCTGGCGGAGGAACCAGGCCGGCGAGCCGGTCTGCAACGCTTGCGGGCTTTACTACAAGTTGCACAACGTGAGTACTCTCATTAATTATTCGTTTCGCCCGCACCATCACGATGCGGTGACGGCGTTATGTGCCAATGCACCGCGAGTTTCGACAGACGGATGGTCGGAGAGGATCGAAAACGCGCAGCTGCACACTCGGTAGAAGCTGCACTCGCGTTCGTTCATCCGTTCGCGCGATAACACATCGATATGTAAACTTCGATGATGAAAAAGAGGGAGACTAACCGTCCCGATTATTCATCCCGGCTTCACGGCGCGTTCCGACGCGTTGATTAGTCAGTCAATCGAAGGAGAAAGTCGCCGACTTCAACGTGAGGGACGGCAATTCGGGTTTCAATTTAAATCTAGTCCCTTAAGTCACATTACGGATTGAAACAATTGGAACAAAGCAGGTGAAGACCGAAATTCGTTGATTCGTCGAAATCTGATCTTCATACGGACGAAGCAGAGGCGGGAGAAAATCGTGAGATTTAACGGAGGTACCTTCGTATTCCTGTCGCCGCGTTTCACTCCGACGTCGGATACGGTCGCTGGGTGGCCACGCACACATACACACACACACACACACACACACTGGCGAAAATCCATATATACGCACACAGCCTGTCACCCGACAATGCAAGCACTGCGCGCGCACGGAGGGGGTCCCCTGGTGTGTTGTACCAACAATTAGGATGCTTTCTGGTTTGCCGGACGTGGTCCTTACACACGTACACGGGTCGTTTGGAAGGGGTGGAGCGTGCTCAACGGCGTGTGACACCGGAAGTGCCGGAAGCGAGCGCCGCGGCACGAAGGGGGACGCGATAAACGCGCGATAGAGACAACAGGGAGAGGCTGTCGGCCCGTCGGCGGCAATGAGAGAGAATTCCCCTGTTCTCTTTTTTTTTTCCTTCATCTTGTCCTCCTCCTTGTCGCTTTCGTCGTCGAAGACGACGGAGCGACTCCGTCGTCGTCGCCGCCGCCGTTGCTGGACTTCCGCGAGACGGAAATCTCGAAGGCGAGAGTGACCGCGTGTAGGCGACGGCCTTAATAGGCGAGACACGCGTCGCGACGACGACGGTTTCTAGCCGTGGAATTCCGCGAGATTAACGTGCTCACGACATGACGCGACACGCCGGTGCTTTGCTTTTTCGCGCAGAACACGATCCGGGGGTCCCCCCCATCCCTCCCCCTCTCTCTTTCCGTTAGATACTCGGAATGCAACACACCGAGAGAAAGAAAGGAACGATTTCCGCAAAGAAATTTATTAATATTTTGCTAAATGTAGATTAAGTTCCGATCAGAATGTCCAATTTTGTCTCAAAATAGATTATCCCGCTATGATATCGGTTGGAAATGCCAATCCCAATTTGGAAAGGTACCGAGTAAATGATCGGGCCCTTAGATGCCAAATGAAACTTGGATCAGGGAAGGCTAATAAGAGCTCACGCGAGATGTCAGTCGCGAAACACGCGGCATCCACAAATGCACCAAGCGAGGGGGCACTGAACGCGCTCCGGGAAATCAAGCGAACGTTATAGCAGCATTCACCGCAAGAGTGGCTCTTCCAACTGTAATTATTTCACTCTGCTATTGTTTCGCGCCGCAACGATTTCACAAGGTTACCAATTGCAGTCTCCTTTTCTCAGTGCGGCCGCTGAGAGAATTTGTATTCTGCGAAGCGGCGCGGGGGGAGGGTGTCCGTCGAAAAAAAACATGCGAAAATACCACCCGCGGCTCCACGCGCGCGTAATTATCCAGCGCCCGCACGATAAATCGTTTTGATCTCTTTCCTGCTCTTCATCTATCCATCCATGTCTCTCTCTCTCTCTCTCTCTCTCTCTCTCTCTCTCTCTCTCGCTCGTTCGCTCGCTTGCTCGCAACGCGGCGTTATCGCGGCGACGGGATCGAGATAGTAACGAGAGGGAGAGCGAGAGAGGGAAAAAAGCCGCGTAAATTTGGACGGACGATTTGCTCGGCGACGGGGCCGCACAGTGCACCGCCTTGTTGCCGCGTCACGGTCGGCGAGGGGGGCACCGACAGACAGAAAGCCCACTGTGACGGGGGGCAAACGTGACGAATGTGTCCGAGGCGGTGATGTGCCCGCCGTTCGCTCTCGCGGGGAAATCGCGAGCCAATTAGCGCGCGCCGCAAATGAATCCTCTTTCACCCGAAGAGCTCTCCCCCTCGCTCGCGCTCGCTCTCGGGGCCCTCTTTCCTTCGTCTTATCGCAATCAGTTTAGGAGAGATCGCGCCGGTTGGAAATCAAGATACACGCCGCTCGGCAGACAAGCTGCTACAGATACGTCCCTGACTCGCGGGCGGTAGCGGGACGGAGGCTGCAGGACACGGGAGGTCGTGGATGCGCTTCTTCGAGGACCCGGGGGGCTCTCCCGTACTCCGTACGGCGGCGCGAGTCCGTCCGTTTCCTTAGAACATATATATAATTGGCTCATCCAACTTTTTTCCCGTGTACGTGCAAAATTTCGAGATATTAGTGAAAAAAGATTGACGAACCAATGTGTGCGCGATGCTGCACTGAGAGAAGAATTTAGTAAATATTATCAAAATTTGGTTACTGTTATTAAATGGTAGACGTAAATATAGCGGGCCAAAGCTATGGCAATACTTATTAATTAATTTAGTTCTGTAAAATAAATTATTTATTTGACAGAAGTAAAATTTATTTGCTTCCAGAATATATTTGGTAAATAAAACTTATTGAATAGTTGAGCAAAATAAGCGATTTTGTAGTAGTTACAAAATTTTTGATAGGTTCAACCAACCATCTGTAATAATAGATATTGAAACGATATAATAGCTGCAAATGAATGAATTTTTCATTGTGCTGCAACAAAACATACTTATACTGGTAACAAGATAGAACTCGTATCTACTGAATTTTTTATTACATGGGATATAACAATTTCATAACAATTATCAAATATCTGCTCATAACTGTAATATATTTCATATTAAATATTTAACATTAAGTAACTATTACTAAATTATTTAATTGATGTTATTGTGAATGCAATTACGTCATACTCCCGATCTATTAAATATTTGGTAATTATTATCATATTTAGTATTAGTTACTAAGAATACAATGAATTTCTGTAACTAAATGCAGTTTGTTATAGTTACCAGTCTTTTCTCTCAGTGTGTGTGAGACTTCTATTAATATTTCGAAATCTTACATGATTGTTTGGGAAACGGTACGAGGCCTTCCGCTCAGTTCGATATGTCACCTGCACGACAATTGTCGTGTTTCGTCAGACACTCTATATAATTGAGCGTTGAAAGGAAAAAAGTTTGACGAGCGTACATAGAGAGAACGATTTATTGAATTAAATAAATGTTTCTTTGGAATAGTCCAAATAAATTATTTAGTTGACACTACAAAAATATTTCTTTGGAACTAAATATTTTTGTTGCGTCAAACAAAATTTTGTTTGATCAATCAAAAAATTCGTTTGGACTATTCGAAAGAAGTGTTTATTTGATTCAACCAAATCTTATAGTCCTAATTCAGCTAGAAAGAAATCTTACAGCATCTGAGTACGAACCTCAAAATTATCCTAGATAGAAAAACGGACTGCGAATACGCCTTATAAATTTCTGCAAAATACTGATGGGCCCGCGAATAAAGGAGACCAGGACTAGCTGGCTACGGGGTGAGTTGGCAAAACTAATTATTTCTACTGTTCTTTAATAGACTTCAGAATCAAGCGAGCAGGGATTCCAAAGCTGTCTTTGACACGTTTATAAATTTTGCTTGCTTAATTCAGTAACTTATTAGAAAATATCAGAAGCAATCGGTTTTGCCAACTTACCCCGGTAGTCAACTAGCCTCCCCTACTTGTCCTTCTGTATCCCGTTGCATTTACAATTCATACGTACCGGTGTGTAGGTACATCCTGCACGTTACACTTTGAATTCACGTAGGGTACGGGGAGTTTAATAGTGAACTTCCTGCATCGCGGATGCGTGCCCGCGGGGGATGAGGGAGGAAGGTGAAGGAGAATGAAGAGGAGGAGGAGGAGGAATCGCGAGACGGACCAGCGCGTTTGCCTCGCGGAAATGAGAAGTCTCTTTCCCTCTCTCTTGGCCGAGCGACGACCGATTTCAATCGGCGGGTCCCTTCCCACGGCCGAGACACAACTCCGATTGTTCCGCCGTCTCGGAAGAAACATTTGCCGTTTCCCGAATACGCCCGCTTCCGCTTCCTCCGCAGCTAGAGGACCCCTCGGCGATTCTTCAGGGGGTGCGAGAGAGTGAGAAAGAGGAAGGGAAATTTCTAGGAAGGGCAGAGAGAGAGAAGGAGAGAGGGAGAATGCGAAATTGTAATAGATACTTAATAATACGAGGTTTCCTCGCGCGGAGGGTCACGACGGGGTTTTTCAAGAACGAACAAAAGACTATTACGCAGCGGATCGAGCTGACGCGCGCAATGAAACGCTTCTCTTTCTACAAACAGCGGAGGCAAAAGGTCGACCCATCGACAGCGGCCGCCACCGTCGAAGCCAGCGACGCTTGTCGTCGTCGTCGTCGTCGTCGTCGTCGCCGCGTATTCTCGGCCCCCTCCCCTCCTTGGCCCATAAGAATGAAAAGCCGGGTCTGTACGCGCCGACTAAACGAAATATCGAGTTGCCATTGTCATCGAGCCTCTGGATATCCATTGTCGATGTGTCTCCACCGCTGTGGAACCTAATTCCGCGTCTCTTCCTCCCTGACCATGCCTCTGTCTCTAATACCGCCGCGATGCGACCGACTCTGTGCTTCCTCTTCCGCGATTCAACCTTTCCCCTGCCCCCTCCCGTCTCTCCTTCCACCCCTGTGCACACGCCTGCCATTTGTCGCTGAAATAAAAGATTACACGAGGCAGATAAGTACGGCTTTTGCTGCTGCTAAACTCGGTTGTTGAGTCCGCGCTTTATCACGATGGCGAGGAGAGCAGAGCGGCCCTTTATTTTTCACGAGGCGTTATTTTCAACCCCCTCATACGCCCCCGAGTTATTTCGTTGA